GCAATGTCCTTGATTGAGCCTGCGAAAGGGTTCGATGCTCCCGAAGGTCGGCGAAGCAGCTGCTGCTCGTCCTCGTCTTCAAAACCGGCTTTGCCCAAGTCACCATCACCACCCATCGGCGTCAAATAGCTCGCGCTTCTTGTTGCTAGTTGACCGGGTGGATACGTCGGCGGGCTGCCACCACTGCCTCGCTCGATAGGGTCTGCATCAGCAAACACCTCAGAAGGCTCGCTGGCTCGCAAACGGTCCTCCAGGCGTCTCCATGCGCTGTAACCCAACCACACCTTCTCACGACCGAGAGCATAGTCCAGGCCATCACGCAATGCGTTAGCGATGGCAAATGCTTGAATCTTCTCCCTAGGCTCCGAAACACCGGCGGCTGCTGCAGCGGGGATGACTGAATCGGAGTATCGCAGGCAGAAGGCGTCGAAGGCCATTGCCTGCACGTACTCGCTGCGCTTGCGTGACGCCATTTCGGGAAGGAGCGTGCTGCGAAGCTGCGCTTTGACGCGTCGAGCATCGAAGCTGTTGGGTTGGTCAATGTCGTTTGGACGCATTGCGAGTACAGACCATGTGCGGCCAGCATGGCGGACTGCACCAAGGATCTCGCTGATGGTGGCATTGACCTGTCTGCTGATCCCGTACACGCGCTGAGGATCCAAAAGGGGATCCACCGTTGGAGCATCTGGAGCCAGCGTCGATGGTTGTCGCAGTGGTCGAACGCTGACCTGTGCGTTTGCGACAATTGAAGCATCGAGAGGATGCGGCTCCGTTGCCAGACTGGGCCCAGCGAAGAGCTTGCCAACGAACCCAACTTGGCTTCTGCGCAGCATCGACACAAAGCTCGAGTCGAATACGTCAAGCTCGCGGCTAACAAAGCCTTGCACGTCGTACGTGCATTGTCCCTGGTAGTGATTGACCGCGAAGACTCGGCGACCACCTTGGCTCTGCGGCGCGGTGGAGGCCAAAGTGGAGTTGGTCGACGCGAGGTAAGACATGTGGCCAGCATGTTGATCAAGCTCGGCCAGCAAAGACGTATCATCCTCTTCCTTTGCCTTGCCACCTCTGACCTTCTGCATCGCCTTGTCGAGTGTGCCAAGCAGTCCTCCTGGCTTGCGATCCGTAGGTCCGCCAATGCTCGCACTACCTCGCAGCAGCTCAACGCAAGATGTGTTATCAGTCACTTGAGTCTCTGGTGTGGCGATTCCATCAGCCAGAGGCCCGGCATTCAGTGGTCCATCAGCGTCAAAGATTTGCCTGACCAGGTAATTTTGAACCATTTCCGCTGGGAAGTTGGCTGAGGAGAATTCGTGATGACCACTAGGCGGGAGACCTGCGGCGCCAGGCGCAGCGATGGAGGAAGCAGCTCCCTTGCGTTGGAAGCCAGCAACATCGAGCTGCACGATCTGCGTAGGGAACTGCTCGTCCGGCGCTGGGCAGACCTTGTGGTTTGCGCTCTCGACAATGTATGCAAACAGAGTGGCGTAAAGATCTCTGGCAAGTACATCCCTCTGATGGGCAGCGGCAGCAGCAGAGAGGATGCTGGACACTTGCTCTTTGCGGACCATACGCGTGCGCGTCGTCAGACACTGCTCGAGCTCGCTTTCGTCCACACCCAGAAGAATGGCAGCGTCCTCCAGCGCCTCGCGGCTTGTAATCTTCGCAGCGTCTGCTTCCATGACGTTGCTGTCCGGCTCGGCGAAGGTAATGCAGCTGAGTGTCAGGATGGCGGACAGCAGGCTAAAGATAGCGGTAGTCTGTTTTTGCTTGAAGCCAAGGCTGCGAAGCGCGACCCTGAGCTCCTCCATTGCAATGCCGTCGTCGCTGGAAGGGCCACCCGCCAGTCGATAGCAGCCAGAAGAGGCAAGAAGGGGATAGCTAGTCACATCCTCCAATCTGAATTGGTCCCTCTCGTCTGCTGTAGCGCCAGCAAGGAGCTGGTAGAAGACGTGAAAGGTACGCTCCTCGCTCGCCAGGGGACTGCACAGACGCGACTTGTCCAAACCAAAGGTAAGGACTTTGAAAGCGCCGAGCCGGCCTGCGTCGGTGAAGTGCAGCTCGGTGTACTTGCCATGCCGACTGGCATTCCCATTGCTTTTGGTCTTGGCTGCGCCAAACGAGTTCAAGATGGTGTCAAAAGAGCGGACTTGGTCGGCCAGTTTGGCCTCGCGTTTGGTCGCGTTGCTGGACAAGCGGAGCAATTGTTGTGTAAGTAGCTTCGATGCGAATGTCTTGCCCGAGTTTGTAGGGCCGCTGTGTGTCGGGGAGGGCGAGCAAGATTAGCCTTCTTGCCAGTCTCTGACATCGGTCTCGCGCTTCTCACCTGTAAAGAACTGCTTGGCTTTCTTTAGTCCGTCGCATGGCATGGTACACTCGCGTTGCAAACTCATAGGGATGAGGCGGAAGGCGGTCATCGGGCTGCAGAGATCCGCTCTGTTCCCAGCTAGCCTCGTTATAGAGCTTGCGGTACGCATCAGCACTGGCATCGTTCAAGTTCGCCAGTGTGCGCAAGGGATTGATGACAATGAGCGACGTACCACCAAGGCGAGTGTAAGGTTGCTCTGAGCGAAAGCGCTGCTGAAGGTGAGAGAGGACTGTATCGTCGGAAAGCTGCACAGTTGTCGAGCTCGTGCTGGTCACCAGCGACACGAGATCCGCCGAAGGGCCTGCGCCCGGGACTGGATCCCTCATCGCCATGTCGTCGCCACTGCCAGGGCAGTCTTCGCGGCGAGTAAGGAGTGTGGGATTCCAAGCTTGGACTCCGTGGCTAGTGCTGGGTGAATGGAGTGCGAGGGAATGGTGGAGCTGACTAGTGGCTAGGTTCCCACTGTGCTTTAGGATGGTGCGACCTATGCCCGTGGCAGAGGACTTGAACACGGAGTAACACTTAGCCACAGTGTGGGCTGTACTAAGAGACTGAGGAGCTAGCTGCCCTTGTTTGCTCGCGGGAATCAGGCAGCCCGGCGGAAAGGAGTGAGATGTGGAAGAGAGATGCAAGCACGACTTGACGAGAGCAGAAAGTCAAGAGTCGCGAGTCGCGAGTGACGGTCACAGTCACAGTCACACAGGAGAGCTCAATGAGAATGAAGAATGGCGGACCGCGTCGCTCTGCTCTTCATGGCTCTCGTCCATGGCGCTCGGTCGCCCGGGCAGCTTGCGGGATGAGCTGAGCCGACGTCGCAACAACGACGACGGCCGCTCCTTCTTAGCTCGCTTGCCGTTTAGGTGAGCATTTCATTGTGCTTTTCGAAATTCCTCGCGCTTGGCTGGCTAGTCCCAGCTGCTGCAGCATGGCTCGCGGCCCGCGCCTATACGCGCGTGCTGATCTGAACCCTTATTGCCGCGCTCGCGGTCTTATTCTCTCCTTTTTTTGGGCCTCTCGCTTGGGTCCCTGGCGCGGCGTACATACATGAAAGAGGCGTGCGAGCAGCAGCAGCAGCCAGTCAGAGTATATAGCTGCAGGTTAACGCAGATGCTGCTTTAATGCCCCTGCCGCGACCCTTGCCGTTGTGCTGCCTTCGAGAGCGCTGCCGATGCGCTCGGTCTGCATCTATTATGACGCGGTACAGCCAGCGAGCCAGGAGGCGCGGCGCGCTCATGCATCGCAGCGGAGTAAGGCGCGTGCATGAATTCATCAGCACAAGCAGCATGTCTCCTCATGTGCAGGGCTCGACTTGAAGTTTTGAATCATGAATGTGGAGCTTACAAATTGGGACATATGGGAGCTCCGAATACGGAAATCAAGAATGGGGGACCCGCCCTCAAGCCTGGTCTCGCGCGGCTCGATCCTGCCAGGGACGCGCTTCCACTTTGACCTTCTTGGGCAAAGCAAGCCTGAATCTTTGGATGGTGAATCAAGCTAGCCTGCCTGGATCTTGATTGAGGAGTTGATAGATACCTACCTCGACTCATGACTGAGCAAGACGGGATCTCGCTGTACGGGCAAAGCACCGACGGTCAGCCACCTCGCGAGGCTTCAGCGAGAGCATGGGCACTTGATCGCATGGCTAAAGTCACAAGTCACAAGTGAAAGTTCGAGAGTGGAGTCAGGAGTGAGTTTCGGCCTTCCATCGTGCGCGACACCGTGTGTCCATGCAGGATTGTTGACAATCGTGAATGATTGATTCAGACTCATCGATTCTCAATTGCGCCTCTTGACTTTTTTTTTTTGATTGGACATGGCAGACATGCGAGGAGGATCAGCAGCGCGCACTGCAGCGTGGTGGTGACTCGAGACTCGAGACTCGAGACTCTTGACTGATGGGAAGCATGAATGAAACCCATGAACGCACCCATACCACTCAAATTATATCATCGTCTGGTCGGACGCACACGCGCTGCGCATTTGTGATGCTTCATCGAGTCAAGATCGAGTCACTCGAAGCTCGTGATCGAGTCGATGCAGAAGCGAAAGAAGCGGATTGGGCCTGGTGAGAGTCCAACAGCTCCTCCTCGACCTCTCACGTCGACATTGTGATTCGCCTGTCGGACGCCTCGCCGAACCTTGAATCACGCGAATGTCTATCACCATGTCCCTCCGCGATCGAACGCCGGGCATGCACCTAGAGGCTCGATGAAAAGCTAAAAGCACACCCTGATTGGCATTACACAGTCGCGTTGAGCGATAGCGGTTGACAAGGAAGTCATCTGAAGCGATCACAGTGGTCGCTAGCCTGTTGTAGTGATCACAATAAGAGCAGGTGCAGCAAAAAGTCGAATGGCGCTGCTTCTAGGACGTCTTGCAGTCCCTCCGATCGGCTTGCCACATCAACGAGCTCGTATGCTCGCTTTTGGCATCCTCGTCTACATGACCGCAGCGCCTCACCACTGGCAGGATTTATGCAGCTATCCATTGATTCCACAGAAAGGGACGTTCGTCTATCGAGGCACAAAAGAAAGCGAGTGCAAAAGGTTGCAGTTCGAGAGGCGATCCCTTTAGAGCATCCGGTCGAACAGAATGCGCCTGCACTGAATCAGAATGAAGCGTCTCAGAGTCTTCTTCACTGCTTTTGAAGCAGCTTGCGCGCCCACACCTGTCGGGAAGAAGCAAGTAGGCAGCGAAGCAGGAGCGTGAATAGAGCAAAATCAGTCAAGCGTGCTTCGTGATCGCGGGTGCGGCTTCCCTCTTACGCACCTCGAAATAGTCTCGGAAGTAGAACAAGAGAGCTTGCGCAAGCACAGCCTTTGTGATTTGTGCTTGCATGCCCTGCGCATAGTCCGAAAAAAGGCCCCGATCAGCATCAAAAGCTGAGTGCTTTTGCAAGTCCGGAGCAGTGCCTCACCTGATACCAGCCAGTGATGCCCTTCTCCTTGGCGATCTTGGCCAAGCAATCAAGGGCGCCAGTGTACGGTGTGTTTCTTGCTTGAAGACGAATCTTTGACAGAATGTATGGGAATCTGTCCGCAATCGGGCGAGCTTGATCAGCGAAGTGCATGGCAATGCATCTCGCACACTTGTGTCCACTCACGTAACAACCGTCGCAAGCGTCTTGGAGAGAGCTCCGATCAGAAAGCTCTTGCCGGGTGTCATCTTTCCGTCTGCACTTGCAGCGAGGATCACGTTTTTGACACCTGATGAGCGCGAGGATGGTATTGTCCAGTGTGTGAGAATGTCGAGTGATGACAGGGCGCACAGGTTTCAAATCATAAGCGTATTTGCCGGAACTCACGCTCGTAGACTCCGTACGTGATGGCAGGGTTCACAGTGAGCACCAGACTGGGCTTCAGACCACGCCAGAGGCCAGTGATGCCGTCTTCCCTCAGAATGTCTTTCGCGACGCCCAGAAAACTCTCATCCTCCACCACTTTTGATGCGGCCTTTGCGACTCCGCTTTGAGCAGGCTCTGGCCCAGCACCAGCTGGTCTGCCAGACACACTAGGCTTGGGCGTGCCTCCTCCTAGCTGCTGACGTGTCGCAATGACGGCAACAGGAATGGTGAAAATTTGTGCCAGACCGCCCGCTACTGCGCCGAGCAGAAGCTCGATGGCAGTGCTGAGCTGAACAGCAGCTCCTGCTGCTGCGGCGGCGGCTCCAGTCTTTGTGAGCCGGTTGATGTAAAGAGTGCGCACGACGCTGTACCAGTAGAAGTAGGCAAATTCTGTAGAAATTCAGGCGAGCATTAGCGGTGCTCTTTGAGCTTCGCGCGCGCTCCCAAAATTGTGACGCAGGGCTTTCGAGCCGGCGACCTGCTCATTCTCGTGCGCGTAGGAAGTTCTGATCGCTCAGATCGACGTCACTCACGAGTGGAGAAGGTGTTGACCATGCTGGCGCCAAAGCCTCTGTACAGACCAGCCACGCCCTCCTTCGATCGAGCAATTGTGACTACACCCTCAAGCATTCCAGCCCCCTTTCTAACAGTCACATCTCCACTCGACTTCGAAACCGCTTTTTTGCCTTTCTCTGCTTCTTGTGTGCCAGCTTGGATGCGGGTCTTCACACTGACATTGGAATGAGGAGCCGGCTTTAGCGTTGCTAGATGACAGATGCTTACGATCATTCCAGCAAGACAAAATACGCACGTGTCGAGCGGGTAGATGACGGCATTGGAGAAGACACCTAGAAGAGCGAAAGGCAGGCGGGCAGATGATATGCTGCGTCAACACCCTTCCGACGATACCGATCATGGCACCCAGACTCACCTCCAAGGGCACCAGCCAGGGCATTGCCAAAGGGTGTAAGAGGTTCTTGCGCCATGCTCGCCAGGACTCAAGAACAAAGGTGAGCGAGAAAGACGATGATTTCTGCGCGCGCAGGCTTCCTGCTTGCTTGTGGCCTGTTCGCAGCACCGACTCGGGAGAGGGCGGCCTTATCGATCGCTCAGAGAGAGAAAGTGATTGGCTGGCGTTAAATCAAGTCGCAATGCAAATCCGGAGAGGCGCCGCTAGAGGCATACAGAGAGGTGATTAGGGATGTGGTGGATGAGTAGAGCTTCTCCCGCTCCACTGGTGACTGGTGAGTGCGACTCGTGACTCTGGACTATCAAGCCAAGGCCTTGCTGCCGATTTCGCATTCGTGATTTGATCGTGATTCAACCCCGAACGATGCATGAGCGCGTGCGTAGGTGCTGTTCTGCACATGCGAGCTCCGAATTGCGTGTGACACCCGTCAGCTGCCGCGCCTGGTTGGGCTGTGGGATGCTTGCGCAGGGCCCGGCAGCGGCCGCGACGCCAGTGAACGCACGGTGGGTGCATGCAGCAGCAGCCATCGAGCACGTCGCTTGCATCTCGCCGAGCTTGTTGCCCTCTTCGAATGGTGAATTGGCCTCCTTTCTCAACGTGAAAAGCACAAGAGATGACGAAGCTTCCGCAACTAAGAGCCCTCGAACACAACTTACCAGTCTTCTCGATGCCTTTGAACCATTCAAAGTGCCTCACAGACTGTCTCGTCAAATTCAGCCGACAGTTCCAAAGCCCCACCGATCCCCACACAAGCAAGAACGAGCGAGCGAGCACTCATGCGTAAAGACGAAAAGACGTCCGCCGGATCTCGGCCTCGCGCTAACCGGCTCCGGAACACGGGTGTAAAAGACGCGCCATCGTGAATAACATCTTACGCAGATTTGAGCGAGCGTTTGCGCCCTTCAAGCGTGCGACACGTGATCTTCCATCTTGCCAAACATCCAAGACTTTTTGACTGACAGCACCTAGGAGTCAGTCAGACTGATGAGTCTCCAGCATCAATCACAACCAAGACTTCATCCGTCTTGGAGCCCTATAGTCTCACTTTTTCATTTTCTCTTGACTACTCGACAGAGCTCGCAACTTGAAGGAAGCAGTCAGTCGCGCAAGCTCAGCATTCCGATAGCAAATTAATGTATTGCAGAGAGCTGTTGCAGTGTGATGCGAAGGGTAGCAGGACAGGCATGACAGACACGATAAGCAAGCACAGCAAAAATAATGAAAAGAGCCTAGCTTGCAGCAGTGGAGACTGGTCTACTGGTCCGCGAGCAATGGAACTTCTGTGCACCCTCCGTGCAAGCATTTAATGCCCACCTAGCGGGTCTTTGGAGCCTTTCGAGCCCAAAGCACCGCCTGCGAGCCTGGCAAAGGCACCATCAGCGCCGGCAATTCTCGGTCTTCCATGCGGTCTTGAGGCGTGGGACCGATCGTCGTGTTCTGCTCTTCGTGGGTGCTGCTTTCTTGTAAATCCCTCAGACGTAGCTGACTTGGGCATCTCTGCTTGCTGGTAATGTGTCTTGTTGGCTGAACGAGGTGTGCTTGGATTTGAGTGTCGACCTGCGCCATTCGGAACGCGGTCTGTTTGAGCCGCCGCCAGAGAAAGATTCGAGGCCTTGCCTCTTACTCGGTCAGCTCTGGGACCTTTTGGAGGGCTGATAGGCTGTGACCTTTCCCGCTCAGCATGCGAAGCGCTGCCTGCTATCCGCAAACCGCCAGATGTGTCCGCTGTGCCTCTGCCTTGTGCCCGAGGCGCAATCTCTTCTGCGGCACGTCCCGCAATCTTGAGGCCCATGGGGGCGCCTTCGGTCGCTGACAACTGCGGTGCAGGTGTCTCGCCGGGTGGTGGACGCTCTGACTTTGACTGCGCTGTCTGCTGAGACTTCTTACCCCGACCCTTTCCACCCCGCTTCGAGCCGCGTCGAGACTTCTCTTCTGGAGAAGCAGCATTCGCCGGTGAAGCTTCGTTGACAGAACCAGCGGCCAAAGACCGATTGCCATCAGCGCTAGAGGTGATGGAAGATCTTCTCGATACATTCGCATCCGCTTGTGGTACCGCAACAGTCTTCGGCTGTTTTGGTGTGGCGACGGACCAGTCATCTGGCAACTCGGGTAGCGAGTCGCCATCTGAATCGTCGTCAGCCCAAGCTTGTGGGTGATTGTGCTTTCGTGGGCTTATCTCTTCCGAGGATACTTCCTTTACCCCTACTGCCGGAATCGCGACATTTCTGTCGCCAACATCAGGATGCCTCGTCTCATTTCCCCCTGCTGCAGGACCGCCGGTCTTTGCCTGTGTGAGACTACCCTTTGAAGCGTTTGCAGCCGGCAACGTCGGTTGGGCCTTAGCAGCACGCATCGAACGAGGTTCTTTGGGGACTGAGACGGGAAGACTTGATGGCGTGGTCTCGCCCTGATGTGGTTCCGATGGTCCAACCGTCTCGGAGCTCGTACCTAACATACCCCGATTCCTCGTTTGCGCTCTGCCGGCGCTTGAGTCGTGTTCGGTAGTAGAATTGAAAGGTGGTGTACCCTCGGCAGCGTCACCTTCATCATCCCAACTAGACATGGGTAATGTTTTCCCACTTCTACGCCTCATTTCTTGGTAGTCTAGCGCCTCGATCTCGTGGCTGTCCTTGGCGTTAAGAAGTGCGCCCTTTTTCTTCCCCTGACGGTCTGTATTTCTTTGACTCTTTGTGGGGTTGCGCAGATCTTGGCCGCGTTCAGAAGGCCCGGGCAAAGACGCGGATGTGTCAGCACTAGGATTCTTGGCCCCAGACTTAGCCGATCTTGATTCCCTTGGGGATGTAGGTGGTGGGCAATGTGGGGAACGTGATGCGGGCGCCGTAGCAGCTTTGAGTTCTTCTGTAAAGCGGCTACCGGTATCGGCAGGCGTAGACATTTTCTGCCGAACAGATGATCGATCGAGCTCGCGGATTCCTGCGGTGTTTCTTGAAGTCAACGTCGGAGTGGCGGATGCCTGTGGATCTTCAGCGTCGGCATCGTCGTCGGGCTCTGAAGTTGCTCGACCTCTCGCTCGCCTATTCTTGGGCTTATTCTGGCTTCCATTTGCCCGTGAGCTGGTTGCACCTAGTTGCCCGGATGGCGCAGTGGAATGCTGTTGCTGCTCAGGTGGTTCTGAAACGGGGCCGTTCGCATCTGTCGAGCCCCGAGCCGACACGTCTGGCCCGTCTTGAGCCTCTCTCTCGTCACTTGACTGGTCTGCAGCGGTAGTCGCTGACGCAGTAGACTTTGTAGGAGACTCAGAAGTCGAAGTTGCGGTGCCGTTTCCCAATGAAAGGGCCTGCTCGTCCTCCTCCTTCCCTGGAGAAAGCTTATGGGGCTTGGAGGCAGGCAAAGACCTCTCGCTCGCGACAGGCGATGCCCACTTGCTCGCGAGGCTCCCGCCCTGGCCGAGGCCGCTCCTAGCTGAGCGCAAACGAGCCAGCATGGCCTCAATCTGATTTGAAGCTGAGCTGGGGCTGGATGACCTGCCGGGACTGTAGCCGAGAGCCGCTTCTATAGGGTGAAGCGCGCCGGATGAAGAGCTCGCTGGGAGAGCTCTCACTGCTTTTGGGGGTGTCAGAAGAGCGTCATGTGTGCCTAGCCCACCAGTCGCTCCATAGCTGCTCCGTGCTAGTCCCGGCAATCCATCAGGTCGGCCAAGGGGTGAGCTGCCACCGAAAAGTCTAGTAGAGGAGAGTCCAGGGGCGCCGGGCTGCGAAACACTTGGCGCAGATAGAGTGTTGGCCAGGCCACTTGAAGTACCCGACTCTGTGGGGGTCTGCGGCACTTGCCCCTCGAGACCACCAAGACCGAGTCCCTTCGCTTGTCCGATGCCTGGACTGGGGTATGGAGCTTCGCTACTGGGCGTCAGTGGTATGACTTCCATGCGAGAATGCCTGTCATGCTTCAGAGGTGTGATAGGCGGCGGATGCGTTGCGCTCAATGGAGTCTGTGCAACCGGAGTACGCAGCGGAGCAGATTGCTCACGAGCCGCGCCGATGCTTTGCGGAATAGGCAACCGCAGCGTTTGCGTGGGCCTTCTCTTGGACACTGTGCTTGAGCTGGCGCTCGCGTTGGCGTCGGAGGGCAGAGTTGCGGAAGGGGCTATCGAAACTGGCAAGACGTCCGCTGTGCTGCCAGCTTGTGCCTCATGCGAATCCTCGCCCATGCCAAGACGTTCAAAGAGCGAATGTCCAGACCTTCTCCCTAGCGAAATAGTGGGAGTCAACGCTCCGTCCTTGCTTACCATAGGCCTTGGGGTGACCGAGCGATCTTCCTCCTGATCGCTGCTTACACCTCCGTCTGAACCCAACGGGATCTCGACAACTTGCCCATCTTCATTGTGGTTGTGTTGCATTTCGCTGATCTCATGCGCGTATTTGCTCTCGTGACTACCTCGCGCCCCATTCTGCTCATCGCAGCTCTGCTTTACACGCAGCTTCTTTGGTTGCTCAAGCCAAGCACCAGGCTGCAACTTTTCCCCGTGTCCCACTTGAGCTCCTCTGGACCTAAACACGTCCAGACTCGGAGGTGCGGAGATTGCCAAAGGATTCATGCGTGCTAGCTCATCCCAGGTTATGAACTTGCCGGTGACCTTGTATGCGTTGCCCTTGCCTCGGATACGTTTGACAGTAGGAAACTCGATCTTTGGTGGCTCTCCATGTATGCGCGCACCGGTGCCATGCAAATGGGTGCCTGAAGCCGAGGTATCTGCGAGCGGATACGATTTAGGTCAAACAATCACCCTGGCACCAGGACAATGACTATCGGCGCTTGCTGCTGCATTGGCAAGACAAGACTGAATCAAGCATCGCTTGATACATTGTAGTCTGGTGTGCTACTCACCTTCTTGTTTCAGAGGAGTTTGGCTCTGATCCCATACGTGTTCCAAAAATGCCTTTGAGCCCATCGTCTCATTGAATTCCACGTACTCCTCGGGTCCGACGACGAACATGGTGGTGAGAGACGTCATGACATCGAGAGTGCTCTTGAGAATGAGAGGCCTGCCCCTGTTTGATGAGCCCTAGTGCGCTAGGTGAGAAGATGCAGTCCTCTGAAAGTGGGCCAACGTGGCGCGTGGACCAAAGCGAGTCCAGCCTTTCTACCAATCCGGACGACTCCTGCGAGAATGTCGATGGCGCTGCAGATATTGGCTGGGCGGGATTCGCATGTGCTGCCAGCAGCGTAGAAATGACCAATGCGCGAGCAGACGGGATTGCCGCCGAGATGGTGACGATGCGATGTGTCGCCTAGTAAGATGAGGTTATTTGGATATCATGAAAGAGACCACCGAGGAGCTAGGTTTCACCGGGGGTTGGGGGGAGTGGAAATTTCCGGTGAATAACAATAATGCTAAGGGATCAGGATGAGGTGTTGAGAACTATGGGCTGGAGCAGGCTGTCCGCGTTGTAAAGTGGCTGTCCCGCTCAGAAATGCCGAGGGGATGGATGAGGGTACGCGACCGATCGTAGGCTCCGGAGTCAAGGTGGGCGACGACTCCGAGGGCTCGCGCCTTGGGCGAGATATGAATCTGGGCTGCGGATGTTTGGAGTGCGACGAGCCGCTTCATGCAGGAGATAGCAACATAGTCGGATAGGATGTGGTTGGGAGTGTGCCCGAACCAGCAGTCTGAGATGTCATCGAAGCGGGCTACAAAGTCAGGCCGGTCAAGCTACGGTACGTCTCGAGCGGCATGAATTCATCGTTGCGACGCGGCAGGTCGCCGAGTCGTCACAGCGCACCGCCGCACGCATGCAGCGCGGCTACCAAATTGCTGCGATTGTGCTCATCAGACGCGCGCGCATGCATTCTCCGTGCGTGCGGCGCCGGTGCTGCGAAGTAGATCCCCGCGAACCAGCACAAACGGCCGCAACGGTCTCTCTTGGTCAGGCCGTGCATTTCATAGTCGAGGCTGCGTTACCTGTGTTCAGATATATCTACACCAGACGCAAGCTCCTGATCGTCGCAATCGCAGCGCGATGCAGCAAAGCATATGGGTGACACAGACGTTGCAAGGGGTGGAAACGGGTCTTGTAAGATTACATCTCGAGTTCTTTGAGATCCTCCTCTGTCAGTTGAAGGCCTTCCTTCGCGTCACGCCGGGGTTTGCCAAAGAGTTTGCCGTTGTGCTCGAATGCTCTATTCTTGGCGTCGCGAGGCCGCCTTGGGCCCTCATTGAGAGGCTTGCCCTCAGCGCGCTTGCTTGAAGGACTTCCACGTACGAGGTCGAGAGCGGCTTGCGCTCGCACAAGCACCCGCTGCCAGAGCGCCAACTCGTCTAGTGATGCTCCTCCATTGCTGGAGATCGCCATGGAAGTGAGCGCCTTCAATGACTGCACAACGTCGTGGATGGTTTGATTGGGCGACCTTGCGCGCTCATCAAGCCCGACAACGTCTGGAAGTGTGTCATTTGGGGAAGAGACCTCCCGTCTTTTGCGTGGTGTGAAGGTAGCATCTGGAATTAGATCCGGACTCTCGAGAGGGATGAGCTTGTCATGTATGACGCGCAAAATGAGCTGAGCAGCGAGTGAATTGGCCTCTTCCTCGGACTGAGGCGTCACTCCAAAAATGAGTTTGGCGTTGCCGGCGACGTGTATTCTTGCGCGCATCAAGGCGATCACGGCCCCTTGAACTCGCAACCGATGAGCATCTGTCCCGTAGCCCGATCCTTTGAGAAGGTCAAGGTCAAGGTCGCTTTTGAAAAGCTCAATGGACTTAGTAATGGCGATTTCGGCCGCTGCGGTGCCGCGTGCGGCAGAGGCGTAGATATTGGTCATGTGGATGCGGTAGAGTAGGGCGATGTGCTTGGCCAAAGAAGGCGCCTTGGGGATCGCCGGTCTGCGAACATCCTCAGATGACGGCTGCCGAAGGTCCAGTGCATCGCGAGAAACTGCGACAATCCGACGAAGCAGGTGAATGAGTGTCTGAGCAGCCTCAGCTTTTCCCTCGGAATGGCAGAGATGCAGGAAGACGCTGATGGTGTCATCAGAGGGCCATTCCATCTTAGCAGCCGAGTCGGCTGACAAGTTGCTCAACAGACTGCTGAGAAGCTCCACCGCTCCGTGCACGACGCACATGCGGAAGATGATCTCTCCGCAGTCCACCCATCGAGTATCCACAAAGCTGCTCCCTGTGCTGTCAGAAGGTTTTTCAGTATCGCGGGTTCCAGCAAGATGAATCGTCTTCGCTCTACTTGATGTATCGACACTTTTGATTTCGCCTTGGTGCTTCGAGTCAAGATCTTGAAGCTTCGCTAGGAATTCCACGATCGAAAGCGCGAAGGACTTCGGAAGCGGCCGACTCTCTGTCATGAAAGCATTCTGTCGAGCGTAGAGTGACCCGCGGGAGCGGTGTTCAGGCTGTATATTTAGACCCTGCTAAATGCATGCAAGCTCTGGCCATCGGGAACTCACGCTCGATGCCAGTCTCAGCAGCTGGTAAACAATCACGCTGAGATGGTGCCACTCCTTTTCTTCTCCGACAGCCCACCAAAACGCCTTGCCTCGCCTGAGGAGCTCATAGTTTGACTCCCATTGCGCACGGAGACTCGACCACGCTTCACAGAGAATCTGCGCTAAAGCCAGGGGCGGCGTTCCATCTTCTTCATACTGGACACCGCGATGCAATAACGATTGGCGAAATATCCTAGGCGGTACGGGTATCGAAGCAGAGAGATTCGCATACACCTTCCGCCCCTCCTCCACCTCATCAGCTGCTTCAAGCATCCAGAGATAGCTGCTGATGGCCCTGGTGCTCTCAGTGAAGTGCCGTAAATCCTGGCTCGACGAACTCTCGGCATTTGGGCTCGGCGCAGGAGTGTGGGTTGACGCGCCTCGAAGCTGCGGCTTGGGAGGCGTAGAAGCCGCTTCTCCAGCACCCAGCCTCTTGGCCAGAGCGAGCAAGTCGGTAAAGTGGTCGTGCAATCTCTGCTGCATCCTTGTCCTCGTGCCGTCGGAAGCGCGCCACAACGTGGCATGCTTGCCCGTGCGCTCCGCAAGAACACTTGCAAAGAGCGCGGAATACGTGTCCGCGTCAGGAGCGTGACCGGCTTTCTTGAGCTAAGCATTGAGGTGTACTGTTAGCGATTGCTTTGTTCACAGCTGCTTTCGAGTGATATTCACCTGCTCAATAAAATCCAGGGCTTTCGAGGGCTTTGATGCTCGCGATGCGAGCGCTATCATCCGATTGTACGATTGGACTTCAGCGTTAGGTCCAAGCTTTGGGCGTCGCTCCCACATCTCCAGTCCGCTTCGATAGCTTCCTTCTGCATCACTTCGTGACGCCCGTAACAGCTCCATCAGTTGGTAGCAAAAAAACCATCCGTTTCTTCTGTCCTTCTCGGTGTTCCTATCTTCGGAGGAAGGGGGTCGACTCCTCAGCGGTCGTCTGCGCTCGATGGCCTTTAGGCGGATAGCACGTTCTATCTGCGACTTTGACCGATCATCCCCACTTCCGCCAAAAAGTCTTGCTGAATTTCTCACGCCTTTGTCATCTTCGGCTTTGGCTCTGTCTGGAGAGGCGTGAAAGGCTCGCGCAGGGCAACCTGGATGTACGCTTCTCGAGCCCTGGGCGACCTGCGCTCTCGAGACAGGTGCAAGGTTGGCTGAAGAGTGCCAGGTCGTAGTATGCAAGCTTGGAGTAAGCAACTGCCAGAGAGCGCTGCTGCATCCTTGTACGGCAAACGAGGTCGACATAGCAAAAGAATGTTGCAATGCTAGTTGTGAGTCGCGCCTGCGTGCGCTTTGGAGCTGATCCAGTCTTTAAGAGAGACACACAGGTCGGTCCGCCAAGAGCACTTCCAGAGGCGCTGGCAATTTCCAATGAGGTGCCAGGGTCAAGCATTTAAAGATGGTCGCAACTTGCCCGAGTCTCGCAGTCGGTCAAGATGTGGTATGAGGAGGGTATGCGACCACAACAGGACGAGAGCGATTTCGAGACTAAAAAGGCCGCATGACAGATGCGCCAAGATCAATTTTTGAATACTCATGACTCAACCATATTCACGATTGATCACCAACAAGGCGTCGATTTTTTACCGGTGTATCTTTAAGTGTGGGTCACGTGTTAGGCACGACGCGAGGCTTGAAGCTAGGGCCCGTCAGCATGTGCGCAACATGTTTGGGGCGGAAAGATCACAATTATGAATGATCACGAATCTGTGAAGCAGACTCATCGTAGAGGTGGCAGCATTTGGATGCATGAAATTCAACAATCAAAAATCATCAGCACAGCGCCTGAGCTGCTCGACAGCAAACACTTCGACCGTCAAAAGCGATGCTAAGTACTACCGCAGGAGTGAGACTTCAGAATGAACCAGGCATGGTGGACTTGCCACTTCTAGTACGAACTCCTCCTGACTCATGTGCCAGCTCTTCATCAGTCTCGTTCGTTCGAGCGTCATCTGAGCGCGTCTTCCTACTCGACCCTCTCTTAGCAGCCATCTTCCGACGTGTTCCTGCTTGGAAATTTTCTTCATCACGATCTTCGGGCTCCTGTCCACTTCCAGCATTCTCAGGCTCTACACTGAGCCTAACAGAACGTCGCAATTCGACGGGCTCTCGCGAAGGCGTTTTTGAACGAGTCGTCCTGGCTCTACGAGCAGATCTTGACTGCGGCAGCGCGGCTAGAGTGTCCTGACCTGCGAGTTCGGATCTTTCCTCAGCGCTTGGTGCCGAAGATGACTCGCCCTTGGTGGATGTCGCCCTTGTTGCTCCGCCTCGTGTGCGAGTAAGAGGGGCATAGCCTCTGCCTACGTCCATCTCTGATTCCGGCTCAGCTTGGTGTCTTGAGAGCGTATCGAGATCAGCTGACCTTTGGCGCGTTCTGCGCTGAGGTCTCGCGTTGCTGATCGAGGTCGGCTCCACCGGCTCTCTAGCGGCGCGCCGACGTTCAACACTGGTAGCTGAGACTGCCTCGGATTCCGGAAAACCGCCAGGAACTTCCTCTGCCTCAGAGGTAGGATCCGCGCGTGAGGTCTGAGTTACGGCCTGTGTTCGCTTCCTTGGACGCGCCACCCCGCGTCGCCGGGGCCTCTCAGGCTCCGGCTCCGCATCGCCGTCCTCCATCTCTGCATCTGCTGGCGGAGAAGGGGAGGGAACTCGACGCCTGAGCGAGGAGAGAACTCTGGCAGCTCCGTGCGATGGTACTCTCCCTTGAGACGAAGCAAAAGGACTGGCTCTAGCGGGTGCATCTTTCTGAATAGCATCAGGTGTGCCTGACGACCGGCGATGTGGCGCAGTTCCGGTGGCAGAGCGCTGACCTCTCGGTGGCCCCGCAAAAGGGGACTGAGAAATCAGTAAATTACGGGACTGCTGACCATCAAAAGTGCGGCTAGGGGTGCCGAGCGAGGAGTTGCTGTGTCTGGGCTTCTGTAGAGACTCTCGCAAGGAGGAGCCTCTAAACGGACTGGCGGCCATGCTGTCTGCGCTGCGCTTGTCTAGGGAGCTCACCCCTGAGCCCAATTGCCGTCGTTCTGGGGCCAAGCCATCCTCCGCACCATTGCTCTTGCTGTTAGGACTGTTTTTGACCACAGCGTGCAGCAGCGACCCGACAGGATCGATGGCATGCGAAGCAGCTCTGGGGGCATCAGCCACGGAGGGAAGCTGCCGCAAAGCACTGGTGGCGGACAGAGGGCGTGGTGGATTCTTCTGCGAAAGCGCTGCTGAGCGTCCAACAGCTTCCCATGACATTGCCATTTCCTGATCAGAGTCTTCTCCGACCCCCGCGGTATTTGCTGAGCCCCCTCGCTTGTGCTCAGTAGAGAGACCCTCTTGGATATCTAGAAGCGTCCGCTGCACGTCGGGCAAGATGTTCCTGCTACCCTCGACCAGCTTGCGCCGGCCTTCGCGAAGCGCGCGAGCACGCTTTGCTTCCTCGACGCCTGCGCCGGCTTCGTTGTACAGAGGAGCAGGGACAGTGTCGGCTAGCCGAGCTGCAGAGAGGTAATCTCCTGCATTAATGTACCGTACCAGAAGGGTATCGAGAGCTAGTGTAGCGCATTGCTGATCGAGCCCGCTGGAAAATCTAGTCACAAATTCATGTAGCAGTCGATGATCCGCTGGAGACAGCGAAGTTCCTAGGAGCTCTGATACAGCGCCGACGCGAAGGGGGGCTGGACCAAGAATAGCAGCTGGAAGGTGAGCGGAGGCAGAACACCGCCACGGGAGCCTATGCGCAGAGATGGCACTTACTACTGATGAAAACCCACTTGAGAAGCGAGAGCTTGCACTGCCTTTCTGCGTCAGTCCCTGCGCCACTCTTGCCCGAAGTGGTGAGCGCCTCGGTCGTCTTCCATGCTGAACGCAGACCCTGGACGACCGCAGTGGCTGTGACAAAACCTTCTAGCTGGAATATTGCTGCCGTATATTGAGCTTCAGAGGCTTCGGGAGATGGAGCGCTGGGACTCGTGGCCGACAGTCGGTACAAGCTGAGCAGGAGTGAGCTTCGTTCAGCCATTGAGGGTCCCATCGCGCTTGGGCCTAGAGGTGACAAGGCACGCTGCAAGAGCGGTTGGAAATCCGCGCCTGAGAGAAGGGGCAGAGCCTCCTAAGAGCTCCTAATTGCATTAGCAGCTTGCCCTAGCCAGGATCCGCCATGTTCGTATGCTTAGAGCAGACTTACTCTATAATGGCCTCTCTCCATCAAGAAGTAGCCTTTGATGGCATTTTGATACTGCTTGGGTAACCCAACGGTTTGCGAGAATTGCTTGTGTCTTGTAGACAGGTCTTGAGCTTCAGCGGACGTGTTGATGTCGATACCACAATCTGGAGCTTTCAAGGCTGCCGCGTGATCCAGTAAAAAGTAGTACACAATCGCATTCACCCTGGCCTTCGCGCTTGGGTCTGCCTCCTCCAGGGCTTCTGAGGCAGCATTCACCAAATCATCCACATCGGGTGGATATGTCAAGGTCTGGGGACCTGGAATGAGCAGTGCCAGCAAAAGATCAATAATGAGCCCATCTGGGAAGTCGATGGCTTGACGTGCCCGGATCTGGGCAATGAGGGTTGGAGGAAAGCGCTCGAATCCATCTGGCACCGCGAACCACGTGTGCAGAGCGCTCGGTGCGTCTATGCGCTCATATGACCCATCGCTCGCTGCTACTGGAGAGCCAGAGATGTCCATGATGAAGTGTGAGGGCGCGGAAGCTACGATGGTCGAGGACAATCAGAATGTCGGCCTGGGGCAACGCTCGATTTCGATCGTAGGTGCACTCCACCGGTGCATGCTGCTTCCGATCAGGCGTCAAGTTCTTTCGCGATGTTGGAGGTGGCGCGTGTGAGACCACGTGACTGGCGCCAACGACTTGCAGCTCTATAGCGCGACTTGGAGTTGACGGCCGAGTCGAGCATGCCTGCAGCATTAGGTGTTGCTCGCTCGCTCGCGTGCGTGCGCGTGCGCGTGCGCGTGCGCGCTGGGCAGCCGCTGAACAATTTTTTGAGTGGCGAGCCGCCCTGGCAGACGCCGACTTGCGTGGCGATCTGCTGCACGCCCTTCTCGCGTCGTCCCTCGAACTTCGACAGACACGGCAGCGCCTCGATCCCTGTCGTCGAAGTTTTCAACAAAGACGCGAGCGAATGATCACAGAGTCGCGCAAACTCGTCTCACCATCTACATCACCTTCGCTATCAAGCATAGCTTACTGTCGTCTTACGTCTCGAATCACCACGCAATCCAGCATTCGATCGCTCCGCCAAGCGACCCGTCTTCCATTGCGCACCTTGAAGCATACCAAAGCCCATCATGGCTGAGTCAACTCCCGAGATGCCCGCCTTCAAGCTCGTGCTTGGTGCGTATGATTTACTTGATCTTGATTTCCAGGCGGGTTATGTGAGGCTTACACAACCGCCGTCCGTCCCTCTGCACTCCTGTCAACCCTTATGTCCCCGCCGGCCCTTTCGATGCGCTCAGTTGGCGATGGAGGAACAGGCAAGACCACTTTCGTCAAGGTAAGACAAATCGTATCTGAACGACGCCAACGCTGCTAGCTGCTGGAACAAGGAGGCCTCGATAGACGTATGGAAGGGGCCAGGTAGTCTCAATGGTGCCGGAGTTGGCGCGCTTTGGTTGCAGCTGGGGTCGCGTTTGTCCACTGCGGCCATCTGGTAAGCCATCACTACGCTGCACCAAGTGTACATTCGCCATGGCAGTTAGACGAGCGCTGGCACCCATGAATGGTAGCGAAAGTTGGGCGAGGTGTCAACACGCGTTCAACCAGCCGAGCAGCTTTTTGGGGTCGTGGCTTCGAGAGGCGCGCCTCTCTTGCTCGTTCGTTTGGGGCGCTCTCGACGCCCACGAGGGGGAGGGATTGCTTCCTTAGCTCCTAAGCAGGGCTCATTGGTTGAAAGGCAGCTGATACATATCCTTCTCTCCCTACAGCGTCACTTGACCGGAGAGTTTGAGAAGAAGTACATCGCAACCCTGGGTGTGGAAGTGCACCCTCTCCAGTTCCACACAAACTTTGGACCCATCGTCTTCAACGTTTGGGACACTGCAGGCCAGGAGAAGTTTGGCGGCCTGCGTGATGGCTACTACATTCAAGGACAATGCGGCATTATCATGTTCGACGTTACTGGCCGTATCACCTACAAGAACGTTCCCAACTGGCACAGGGACCTCGAGCGTGTCTGCGAGAACATCCCCATCGTCCTCTGTGGCAACAAGGTCGACGTGAAGGTGAGTTCAGCTTTAGGCGCATACAGTCGCTCGACGTGCAGATTGGAAAGACGATTGCGATAGGCAAAGCTTCTCTGACCCTCTTTGCTTTCTCACAACATGACAGGAGCGAAAAGTAAAGACAGGTGCCGTCACTTTCCACAGAAAGAAGAACTTGCAATACTTTGAGATCAGCGCCAAGTCGAACTATAACTTCGAGAAGCCCTTTTTGTGGCTCGCCCGCAAGCTCGTTGGCAACCCAGCGCTGGAATTCGCCGCTGCACCAGCTCTTGCGCCTCCCGAGGTGCAGGTCGATGAAGCGCTTATGGCTGCTTACAACAAGGAGCTCGAGGTGGTGAGTACTGGGTGGAGACCTACCAGTGTCAAAGGTCGGCCGCTCATCAAGTCCCGTTCGATATTTGTCAGGCTGCCGCCGCGCCTCTTCCAGATGAGGACGACGGAGACCTCTAAACGTGTCTGTCAAGCGTTGGATCAGACCACATTGGCCTCTCCCATTTCCGTTCGGCTCGTAGAATCAACCACCTCGTGACCACGCAAGCGATCGTATTCTGCAAAAGTCCGCCGTCTTGCCCCATAAAATGATACACCAGCCTTGAGACCAGCATTCAATGACTTCCTTCCGGGGTCGCAAAAGAGTGGTCCGAATGTCTGGGGTCATGTGTACGTCAAACAAGGCTCAGTACAAGCCAAATCCATTCTGTACCTCGGAAAGCGGCCCACCAAGGCGCGTGCGTTTGCCCTGTCCGCCTCCTGGACAAGCCTTGCGCCCACACGACCGCCCGTGATGCGTAGTCGCCGTCTCAATGGACGACGACGCGCGCGCGCATCTGTGCGCTAGCGAAGCTGAGAGTAAGATAGGAGATGTAATGGCTGAATGCCCGGTTTCAACGCCAAGATCTCATCATCATGGCCACATCTCTAGTCTTCGCAAGCTAGCTTGAGACTGATCGTCACTGAGCAACTCGGGTCGAGCATGCTTAGTCTGCTTTTTTGCTCTAGCACTGACACTCTAGACCGCACGTCAGGGTCTTCATTCCATTTCGTATCTGCCTTTGCGGTTATCGTCTTGGCGATTAACAGCTGTGATGGAGTGGACCTCGCCGTGGAACGGATACACCATCCAGTTCAGTGCTTCGTGACACGCACAGTCTTGAGTGTGATTCGTGACTAGCAACAGTCCCGCTACTTGCCAAGCCGGTCAAAAGCGAGAACGTTAAGACGGCTAGTACCCAAATACTATCAGAAGAACTTGGGGATTCACGCAGAGGGCTCTTGCAAGTGCAAGCTCGAAGGGGAGCCCGTCCGGAGGGGTAATGGCCACGCCTCTTCTACTGCATTCGCCGGCTTCGTCATCACGTCTGAGTCCAGCGACAGCTGGCAAGGCAAAGAGGACGGCAGCCTGTACAAGTGACCATGTTCCTCGGCCCGCCTCATCAAACTCGAGCGGCGGTCAAATGGCACCTGGAGCATCGTGCATGCAGCCACTCACCCTCTCAGCCAGAAGAGAGAGAAACCAGGATCTTTGACTACGAGCGAGTCCGGCACTTGCTTGTAGCACCACATCTTCGTGCTCCTGCTTCTGTCCTCTGCGTGTCGTGTCTCTTTCGTCTGCCAATGGTTCGTCGACCCGAAGGCATGGCGCGATAGCTCTGGGCGTGTGAGTTCGCTAGCATTTAGAAATGCAACATTGCAAGTCACGATTGGCGGACTTTTGAGCTGATCTGGATCCCAGTCTTGAGTTGAGCATCGGCACAGACCCCACGGAAGGCTATGCTGGTATCAACGGTAATGAATTCTGTGACTATTGATGCAGTCAAGAGTTGAAGAGCTCGCGACCCACGCCTAAGGCGATTGGGCTACGAGGACGACTCGACATTCATCTACGGATTCATGAGTGGTTCTGAATGTTCGAGGCACGCAGGCGCGAGCACCGAAGGGTCCATCTCTCGTCCAAAGATCGGTTCTTGCAGCGGGTTCAGGGCTAGGCCCGACCTTGTGCATGGAAGCCAAACATTAAATTCATGCAACTGAGGCGTCTATCTTGGAAAATTCCAAGAACCAGTCGTGATTCTTTGACTGTTGTGTGCGTAAATCCGTAATTTGAAATTGAACCATTACATTCGATTCAAAATTGTGGGACGATTTTTCGTCCCTGCGCTTGGATTTTGCCGAAGTTCCATGGCCTCGCTTAGAGGATTGTTCCATCGGCTCCACTGGTTCTTGCTCCCATGCTTGAGGATATATAGGTGGCGACTCAACGTCGCGTGCCTGACAGTCACGAGTCTTATTTCGTGCCTACAGGGACGTCGGACTTTCAAAGGTGCCTAGTCGCCAGCATCGCGGCGACTTGTGGGCACGCCATCCAGAGGCGACCGAGAAGCCCTTTCCACTCACGACTCGTGAGCGCGGCAAATGAGCACATGCTATCACAAGTCCCTTCTGATGGCAATCAAAGTAGAAGGTACGTCAGGGTTGAGCACCTGCAAGATTTATAATCGCCGCCATGTGCGCAGTCGAGCTGATGCAGCTCCCAATGGCTGCTGTCTGTCCGTCCGGCTACAGAACAAATCAATCGTGAAGCTGTACAGCAACCTAGTCGAGCTTGAACGCCGTAGAGGAGAGGGACTGCGAGAGCAAGTGTCTGGGGTGGCGGGGTGGCGCCCGATCTCTGTACGAGACCAATCAAGAAAGTCCGCGCAAAAGCTTGAGGAAGTACGATCGGAAGGCGTCGTGCCCGCCCACGGCTAAAGCGACACGGTTCGCCGTGACAGCTGTGTGTCCGTTGCCTTCATAGGTCAGCGAACGAGCCAAGGATGGAGGACCTTCGATGACGTTCGACATTATCTGCATCTGCGAACTTGGTCTGAAATTGGACCGCGCGTGGTTGCACGGACGGAAACAAGCGACATGTGACAGAGCAAAGAGACTTGCTGCGATGATTGAGAGGCTTCACGAGCCGTCTCCTCCGGGAGCGATGGCATGTTGCGCTCTCAAAGGACAAGCACAGTCCAGTCAGTAGTTGCCGACCGCTAGTCGCTTGATCCAACCTACTGCCAGATCGGAGATTTTCCGTTTGACCTCGGCTAGCTGTTCTCTGCATGAGCGTTCGGCAGGGACCTGCAAGCGGGGTCGCGAAGCCTTCCCGTACAGTTTCGAGGTACTGTAGCATGTGACTGTGATTGTAATTGTCAGGAAATCAGCACGTCATGGCCGTGGCACTTGGGCATTCCTCGAAATTGCGGGAAAGGCTGATGCTGCAACACTCACGCCTGGCTGCTGGCTTTCACTTGGGATTTTGACATCGCTGCGCAAGAGCTCGATGTCAAGGCTCTTGTTCCAGGCGGCGCCTGGGCTGAGGGTCTCTGCATAGTCAGCTCTGTGCATGAGCTGCACAGCTTGGTCGAAAGCGATCGCCGTGGAGAACGCCACCTAGCCGCAGAGATGCATCGAAGCCTGGAGGGTAGTGCCGATGCTGCAGCGGAACGCGCGATGTCGACTCCAAGTCGACCATCGGAGCCCGCGACGTCGTGGACGATCCGCCTCAGACTAGTCCAAGATTGCAAGCTGTGCTTGTGTCCCTCGGATGGCGAACTCGCTGCTGCGCTTGGCGGCTTGCCAATCACGAATATACTACTGCCGAAAGATGAGCTGGCTCTTTGTTTGCGCTTGCATGAGCCATGAATCCTCGATTCGGTGCGTCAAAGCTTCGTGTAGCGCTAAGTGCGGGGACGTACTACGTCACTTGGGCAGAAAGACGTCAAGGCGATCGAATCAGATGTTCTTCGTCACAGGCCCAACCCTCTGCTTCGTTAGATCGGTCATTTTTTAGGGAGCAAAATAATCTCTGTCGGCCCCGCTCCCCCCCCCC